TTTTTATATAAAAATGAATTTTGGTTTTATGTTTTAGGTTTTTAAAAAATGAATAAAGTACCTAATTTAAAACAAGAAAAACTTTCGCATTTTCTTAATTTTTGAAAAAGTTACAGGACATTCATTCTCCTTGTAATTTCAGTTGCTTTAGTTTTGGCCACCAGTGTATTTCGCAAGTTATGACAGATAAAAGTATTGAAAATTTGGCCCTTTGTGGGTGAGGTACCAGAAGGGGTTCGCAGATATTTAGCATCTTTACAACAAATCTTGTGTTAACAAAAGTGTGAACCCTATGTGGGGGAGGTATCACAATAAATGGTCCGATCTCTACCGTTTTTATAACAGATCCTTTGTTGATAGAAATATTCAGATGTGCCAAGTCTAAATGGGATAGGATGTTAATTTCGCGTTTTAGGAGCTTCATGGATATTCCAAATTTCGAACTTTTGTGGGGGAGGTACCAGAAAGAGTGGACATATATATTACGTCTTAATACCAGATCTTGGGTTTAAAAAAAAAATACTAGGATGTGTGAAATTTGAAACTATCGGACTCTTACATCAAATTTTATAAGAGTTTAATTAATTATTCAAAATTTTGACTCTATGTGGGGGAGGTACTTGATGGAGTGGACCGATATTGTCCATTTTCACACCTGACCTAGCACCGACGCAGATATTAGGATTTGCAAAGTTGGAACAAAATCGGACCATCCTTTCTCTTTCTGTGCAGAAAATATATATTTTGAAAATTGCGACCTTTTGCTGGATAGGTAGGTACCAGTAGGAGGGAACCGATATTGCCCATCTCCGAACTCGATCTAAGTTTGACAAAAATATTACTATGTACCAAGTTTGGACCAAATCGGATACTCCTGTCGAGAGTTATCGTGCGTATTAGCCAGCCAGACAGGCGGACGGACATGTTCTAAAACGGATTTGGTCCAAAAGACCTACGGTCTAAAACCATTACTTCGACTAGGCACGTTTTGGCCGTACCAAATGATATATACCCTCTCTAGCCATATGGCTGAGGGTATAAAAAGATGGCCCTCACTGAACCAGGTGACTACTAGATAAAGAACCACCCCTCCTCTTAGCAATAGGCCCTTTCAAAAGCACCATTGCCTAAAAAGTGCAACCAGTTGCCACTTGCCTGCCACATGCCTTGTGAATGTTAACAAAATAAATCGTGTGTGTGTCTTTCGCTCCATGCCCTCTTTCGTCCACTTCTATGCTAAGCGCCACTTACACCATGGGATACCATGGCAAATAAGTATGTTTCCAATAAATTTCCTTTGCGTTTGGGGATTCTTTCGTTGCCGGTCGGTATTGTTTTGGGTGGCTCTGCATGTAAAACAATTTTTTATCAGTTTTTATTATGGGCGCTATCTTTGAAGCGCTCCTCACAGCGAACACAAAATCAAAACAAACACACACACACATGATCGGTAAGTGGGAGTAACAGGCGGTGGCAGAGAATGGGATGGAGTGGGAATGGGAATGGAGGGTGAATTATGGCTTTATGTTTTGTTTATACATTTCAACAAATCTGTGTAATAGCCATGTTCTCATATCTCGAACACCGAACTAATGCTGTTCACAACTTGTTATTGATACCCACCACCAAAACTGACCAATGAATTACAACGAAAATCGTGGCGATGAGGAGGGGAAAGGGGGAACGAAGATATAACTCCATTGATTTTGACCATAACACCAATTCAATACCGTTTGTCTTTCCACTCAATGGCCACATTCATGGGTCTTTCCCATGAATGGCAAGAAGGAACTGAAAATTGTGTTGGCAGTTCCAACTCAGATATTAATCTGTTATCCACTACACTAATCTTCTTATCTCCTCTTTAGTGTTGGCTGCATGGCTGCGAAGATATATTATGTGATGTTCGGAGAACACAAAAAAAAAAAAACGAGATATAAAATTAGGTTTTTAGTTTAAAATCGTAAATTTAATTTTTAATAGCACAAAATTAATTATTTCAAGTTCATAAATTATATTAAGCTACAAATTGATATTTCAGATACGGGATAATGCGAAAGATAAAGACGTGATAAGTTATATTATGACTATGTAGAGGTGGAGTGTCAAAAAACATACGTTTTCCTAATTGTATTTTTATTACAGAACCATTGACTTCTGTAGTTAAGAATATTACATTTCAGAAAGAAATTATTATTTGGGAAAAATTAGTTCTCGCGAGATCAGGGGTTTTTGTAAAAAAGTGGTTCTTCCGAACGAAAATATATTTTCTCAAAATTGTTTACCTAACCATAGATCCTAATGCACTTACTTCTCTTGTCCTGAGGAAATCTTTTTACAGTAAATGACGATTTTATACCCTTCACCATACAATAGAGGGTATATTAAACTTATCAGTCCGTTTGCAACACCTCGAAATATTCGTCGGAGACCCCTAAAGTATATGCAGGGAGAGATGAAAAATGTTATTCGTGATGAAATTTAAGCGTGATAGTGTGATTTCTTTATATTTAGCTGGAAAATCAAAACTGGCTATCGTTAGCCCGACGTCAAGGAAGTGGACGGAAGAAAACAGCAACATCGGCAGAAATGGTTCGAAAAGTAAAGAAGCGACTTGATCGAAGTCCACGTCACAGTGGCCGAAAATGGCTCGTGAGTTGAACATATCGCATTATTCCATTCGGCAAATATTGGAAAATGAGCTCGGGATAAAGCCATTGAAATTCCAAAAAGTGCAAGAACTTACACCGCTACAGAAAGAAAATAGACTCAAAAGAGCTAAAGAGTTGCTTCGCTTGGCCGAAAGTCGTTGTCCAGCAGTTTGTAAAAAAAGAAAATGATTGTGTTTACTTGCCAAAGAGGTCAGCTGAAAATATGCACTTTCGGTTGGCCATCAGAACTCAAGCGCCGGCCATGATGATGGTGTGGGCCGCCATAAAACCGATGGTCGCTCTCCGCTCGTATTAATTGACTGTGGCATCAATTTCGACATTTTTTGTTTTCATTCAATAACACTTAAAAAAATTGTAAAATTTATGGCGTTTGACTTTGTTGCAGTTTTTTTATCTCACCCTGTATATTCCTGATTAGAATAAAATTATATGGCAATTTAGTACCTCTTGATGTTCGATTTTGCGATTTATTTAAATCTTTTCTCTCCTTACAAAAAATTTTCGAGTAGGTCCACCAATAGATATATCCCCCATATAATAGTACTCCCGATTTTCGGTATATTGAAGGTTTCTGCCACAATTTCCAATCAAATCAGCTGAAACGTGGAAATTGGGGTTGCTGGTAGGCGTGTTTTCTCCTTGCAAACAATGTTCGATTTAGGTCCACTAGTTGGTATAACCCACTTAATAACGATACCTCCCGATTTTCGATATTTTAAGGTTTCTGCCCCAATTTCCAACATAATTAGTTGAAACTTGAAACTCGTTAGGTCTATTCTCTCCTTGTAAAAAAGGTCCAATTCAGTTCTGCTAATTAGTATAGCCCTTATATAACGTTACCTCCCGATTTTCGGTATTTTGAAGGTTTCTGCCACAATTTTGAACTAAATTAGATAAAACTTGACAATTGGGTTCTCGTAAGTCCGTTCTCTCCTGGCAACGAGTATTCGCCACAGGTCCACTAATTAGTATAGCCCCCATTTAACGGTACCTCCCGATTTTAAGTATTTTGAAGGTTTCTGACACAATTTCCAACCAAATTGGATGAAACTTGACAATTAGGATTCCCGGTAGGTCTGTTCATTCCTAGCAAAATATATTCGCTATAGGTCCACTAATTGGTAATTTTCGAACGGTATCTGATGCCCGGTATCAAATATCATTGATGTGGAGCGAGCATGTGAGGGTCTTAAAACTTCAAATCGGATGAAACCTATCTATCGGAGCTGTAGCTATATCTGAACCGATTTTTACCAAATTTGAAGCACTTGCTTTCAGACCGAAATCCGTCGAAAGATTCAAAAAACGGTACATTTGGGTTGATATTAGCTATTATTTGCAAAATAAACCTGAAATCGGATTAAGGATATATATAGGGGCTATACCCAAATCTGAACTAATAATATTTGGTAAAGGTATTTCCGAGCTCTATAAGATATCTGGAACCAAATATCATTGTTGTCGAATGCATATTACGAATGTGACGGACTTGAACACCAAATCGGATGAAACATACATATGGGAGCTACAGCTATTTCTGAACCGAGTTTCACCAAATTTGACGTATTTGCTTCTAGACTGAACTCGGTCGGATGTGCTAAATTCAGGTCATTTAGACTTACATTAGCCATTTGCTGAACAATTAACCCGAAATCGGAAGATATATGAGAGTTATATCTAAATATGATCAGATTATCACCAATTTTAAAAGGGTTCGTCCTTGGACAAAACAAATGTTGTTTGGAAAATCATCTCATTTGGATAATAAATGGGACTTGCATTTTGTTCACAAAAATACATGGACGGACTGACCGACATGCATAAATCGACTCAGGAAGTGATTCTATGAAGAACCTGAAAATTAACTATGGGTCTATCTCGCTTCCTTCTCCATGTTACAAACAAATGCACAAAGTCATAATACCCTTATCACTATGTGGTGTAAGGTATACGGGCATACGGGCTAAAATGGTACTGAATAGTACTAATATTGGGTCATGGTAGTTGCGGGTGGGTTAAATATATAGTTATTATAATTTTTATCCATTATGGAATCTCAATAGAGCTCGCACTTAAAGATTTGGTACAGCATTGATTTTGTTCCTAGGATATTTGGCATTGAGAACGGAATACATCGTTCCTCGATTTAGTCCCCATACAACGGTTCCTTCAAGTTTCGGTATTTCGGAGATTTCTAACGAAATTAGAATAGGAATAAACAAATTGTAACATTGTTTTTTGATAACTCCACACCAGATGTTTCCCGAATCCACAGGGTATAATTAGAAGATAACATCTTAACAATATGTTAGCGACTATGTCAACGAATATAACAGTTGTAATGTCCAGAGAACCCCAAAGACAAAAAAGAAAAAAAAATCAAATGACAAACTTGCTGTTTACGTCAAAACGTAAACCATTTTCATTTCCTTAAACTGTATCTTAAATATGAATAGCACCATTGTTAGTGTACTATCCATTAGAACTGTTATCGAAGTTAAGATAATTATTCTATGTTTTTCCTTTTCCCATTTTCATATTTTCTTTTTATCGGCCTTCTCTAATGGCCATATTGGGAGTCTAATTTCCGCGTCTTATTGAATTCTATTCTAATTCGACTCTGGAACCTGACAGTCCAAATCCAGTACCATCCTAATAAAAAGAATTCTAATATAGCGAAATATAAAAGCTTTTTTTTCATTACTCTGGATTTGGGTTCCAACCGTTTTCAACGTTTCTGCCAGCTACAACATTCAAGGTAAAAAAAGTGATCTTGGATTTTGTTTGGGCTCTAAGAGCAAGTTGTCCACCATCACACTCACGGTAGATGCTTCCAAAGCTTTACCAGGCAATTCAGCCGTTTGCCTGAACATTTTGGTCCACGTCGAACCGGATCGACAAGCTGCTCTCCAGAGAATTCAGCTGCAGAAGCCTTTGATTTCCATAGGTACGTTTCTCTTGTAATAATTTCGTCGTTTCAGTACACAACAAGAAGTCGAAAGATTCACTCAATTTGATATAAAGTGCCGTGTCGTGTTTCACCCCAAAATATAAACTTCAAAATAATTATATATCTGGAAATTCCTGGCTAATTCCCCAAATAACTAAGCTGAGAAGATCGACAACCTAGGAATTGTGGATTTACTAAGAGGAAGACTAAGAGGATTTACTAAGAGGAGACTGCCTTAATACAACAAGAGGATTGTGAGTAAGTTTTTTACAAAAAAAAATATTGATATCCTGTGTGTTGAAAAATAGCCCTGAGTGAGACTACAAAAAAATCTCTGTGGGAAGTTCTTAAAAATTTCGGTAAAAAGGAAACATTTTGTTGGAAAAAAAATAATAAAAAAAGGGGCAAAATTCGTTTAAAATATGTGTGAACATAAGTGGTACATTTGCTCCTTAGTGTAACAGATCCGAGGCTGTTAAATTAAAAAACGTGTTCTGTAGAACTCTGTTAATAACAGAGTCATAACATTTATCTGCGACAGCCTCACTGTTCACTATTTATTTATGGGAACATCTCTCTGTTGTACCAGATGCATTTCAGGTTTACCCTGAAAATACATTAGAAGTGCTTTCTCAATGATCATCCAGGCACTCATAATACACATGGGAGTGAGCAACCTCCATGCATGATCTCTTCCATATTGTTGTTCACTCGTCTTGCATTGTCCATTCCATTCTCTTTTTCAGCTTCATGTTTATTCCCAGCGCGCATGTCCACTGAGTACATGCTCTTATTTATGGATGTTGAGATCCAAGCTTGCCATGTTCTCTTAAGTTATTTTCAGCTTACCTTTCTTCGTCTTCATTGGTCCGAATGAGCATATGCTACTCTTGTGTATGTATGTGGTGATCAGAGCTTGCACACTTCTCTTAAGTCAGTTCCAGCATCATTCTCTTCTTTTCTATTATTCGAATGCGCATGTCCACTGAGAATGCGCTTCTCTCGTGCATGCTGAAACTAAAGCTCAACTCATCGTTCTCTTCCTCAGCCACATACATCCTATTGCAACCAATGTTTACATTCTCTGCTTTGAGTGCGCATGTCCAATGAGAATGCGCTAGTCAATTGTGGGTGAGATTACAACTCAATCGTGTTGTTGTATCATTGCCGTGTAACTACTATTGCAGAGTTTGAGTTCTCCGCTCAATCAGTTGTTACATTTGTGTTCTTTTCTCTATTTATTTTTACGTGTCATTCTCGCTGTTTGAGAGTCCGACACATACCAACGGAGGATTGATTGCTCAGAGCGGAGCATATCATTCCAAATTATTCCATTTATTCCAATTCTTCCAAATTCTTTCCACTTACATTGAGTTCAATGAACTCTTGAACGATCAGCTGTTTTTCTACTTTAGCAAAGTCGTGTTTTTGCTTGTGATGTCTCTGAAGCACATTTAGAAGCATTTAGATACAAATAATAATATCTGGATACCAACGCACAGTGGTACCAAATATAACTTTTCTACAATCAAAAAAAAAAAATATTAAACAAAAAATATAGATACTTGTCGCGCTTTTCACTATTACTTGAAAATTCAACCAATTAAATGTCATTAATGAGAATTAATTAATTGAAGTTAAGAAAAAAGAAACAAGAGTTAATTAAGAGTAATTCAACACATTAGTTCAAATTAAAGAAGCAAATTGATCAATATTAAAAAAAAAAATTAATTAATTGATATTTGAGGAAAAAGTTTATAATTGGTAAGAATCAAGTACATTATTTAATTGAAATTTAAATTCAAGAGAATCATTAATTGAAATTACTAGAGAAAAATATTATTTTTCTGAAACTAAAATAAAAAAAAAAATACTTTTAATTAAATTAAAATAATAATAATAATTAAATACGTTCAATAAAAATCAAAGGAAATAATTAATTAATTAAAATAAAATAAATACAATAAAATTACTAAAATATTCCACCAGTGGAATTTGAAATTAATGATAATACAATCTCCTGTTCGTTTCAAGTTAGGTTTTCCTAAAATAGCATTCAATTGGTACCCGTACTTTCTACCAGGACATTTTATGCTATTTTTTCATCATTTTCAAATTTGGAACACACGGTGAACTCAGTTTGTTGTTTCTTTCACCAGTCCTAGTTGCCCTACTCCGATATAACCACTTGTCTTGCATAATTTTTATCCACTCATTCTATTGTCTTTGATCCATCAAACTTCTTGCTTGTAGTCATGTCACTCGACAAATTCATTCGCCTAGCTGACAGCTTGGTAGAATTTGAAGCGGCACTTATTGCCAATGAGTTTCCTCTAACAACTCGGTGTTTGCTGGAAACCCACACTGAAGAGGTGAAATCCACATGGTCACATCTTAAACAAGCTTATGAGCAATGTCTGGCGGATTTGGAAAATGAAGAAGAAGATGAAGAGGTGTCCGATGATAGAGAAACCAATGAGGTAGCGACAGTGAAGGATAAATATAAGAAATCCTACTCAACTTACTGTCGTTGTATCTCAAAGCTCAATGAAGCTCTGGAACCTCTCTCTCCTTCCTCTTCTAGTCCAAGTTTACGGTCCAGTAACGCTTTTAACTTGCCTCCAATTGAGTTATCCACATTTCATGGAGACTACAAATCCTGGCCAAGCTTTCGTGACATGTTTACGGCCATTTGCATACGCAATTCCAAATTAAGCCCAGTAGAAAAATTGTTCTACCTAAGTCAGAAGACCAAAGGTGAAGCACACGACATTGTTAGGAAAAGTCCTTTGACGAATTCCGGATTCACCTTAGCGTGGAACAATCTATGTTCCAGGTTTGAGAACAAACGAGTGCTGGTTAATGGCCAACTAAAGAATTTATTTTCACTTGTCAATATTCATACAGAAACTGCAATATCCATCAAGAAGCTTCAAAGAGATATCAATTCTTGTATATCCACTCTAAAGCTTTATGATGTTGACGTTGAAAGCTGGAATCCGATTTTCGTGTTCATTTGTTCCAACTGTCTTCCAGATTCTACTTTAACTTTATGGGAACAAACACTCTCGGATAAAACCAGCATTCCAAAATGGTCTGAATTGGATATATTTCTTACCAACCGGTATAGAACATTGGAGGCTGTCTCTGAAATGAGAAGTTCTTCTGATTCCAAGTCCAAAGAGGATAAGTCCAAACCTTTAAATACAAAGAATCAGAAGGACAGGCATCAGACATACCAAACCAACGTCAACAAAACTAAATGTCGATTGTGTTCCAATGAATTCCACATAATAAGGAAATGTCCTCGGTTCCTAGCATTTAATTACGCACAGAGATTGGCGGAAATAAAGGCCAGCAATCTCTGTCTAAATTGTTTTTCCAGCTCCCATGCTGTCAAAAATTGTAAAAGCAAAAATTCTTGCTTCAAATGTCAAAAACGACATAATACTCTCCTCCATAAGGATGCTGAGCAACAAAATATACCCATTAGTACTTCTCCTTCAGCTTCCAATACACCACTTCAAACGCCTAGGACATTTGCATTCCAAGCTTCTCCAAATTCCTCCATACAGTCCACTAACTCTTCAACCGATGTTATTCAAAATTGTTTCGCGGTTAATTCAAACGGCGTTTTGCTTGGTACCGCTGTAGTAAAAGTTATTCATGCAGGTGTTGGTTATATAGCGAGGGCCCTCATAGATTCAGGTTCAGAAGGTACCTTTATATCTCAAAACCTTGCCAATGCCCTCAGGTTACCTTCCAAACCTACATCCGCTATCATATCAGGCCTTAATAACACGGTTTCAGCTGCTGTTCAAAAAGAATGTCGCTTTATCCTGGGCTCCTATGCGGATAAAGCTTTCGAGATCGATGTTTCAGCCTTAATTGTGCCTCATCTTTCTAATAACCTTCCAACCTGCACAATAGGGTCTGATATTCTCTATTCGCTACCAAAGTTAGACTTAGCTGACCCGTATTTTTACCGAAGCTCCAAGATTGATATCCTAATTGGCGCAGATTTACTTCCTTCTGTCATGTTATCTGGGTGCCAGCGAGCGATTTGCGGATCCTTATTCGCCCAGGAGACCGTATTCGGATGGATCCTCACTGGCCCCATTCCAACCAAAGCTCCAAAGTCCTTCTCTACATGTGTATCGTACTTCTGCGAAATTTCTTTAGAAAAAAGTCTTCTGAAATTTTGGGAGGTGGAGAATATTCCACAACAGCGTGTAATGTCCAAAGCAGATAGACAATGTGAAGAAATTTATCAGAGAACGACAACTAGAGATGGGAATGGAAGGTATACTGTTTCGCTTCCGTTTAAAGACGAATATTCCGATTCACTAACCTTAGGTCAGTCGAGAAAAGGTGCGATGGCCCAATATATTCGGAATGAAAGTCGTCTGCTAAAAAATCCAGAATTGAAAAGAGAATATGATCTTAATATTGAAGAGTACGTCAAACTAGGACATATGATTCCTGTTCTACCTCCTACAATCTCAGAATTTCCCGATCACTACTATTTGCCGCATCATGCTGTTGTGAAGCCAGATAGTTCTACCACTAAAGTCCGTGTGGTTTTCAATGCTTCTTACGCAACATCGAATGGTACAAGTCTAAATGACGTTTTGTATACTGGTCCAGCCTTACAGAACGACTTGACTATTCTCATCCTTAAGTGGCGTTTTTATCGCTATGTTTTCAGTGGTGATATAGAGAAAATGTATCGTCAAATCCTTGTGTCTCCTTCTCACACCCACTTTCAGAGAATCCTGTTCCGCCAGAATCCAACTGAACCAATAAAGGATTACGAGTTGAAAACTGTAACCTTTGGTGTTAACTGTGCACCGTATCTTGCGATACGTACGATGATTCAACTAGCCAATGACGTCCATGATTCATATCCATTAGCTAGTCATGTTTTGAAGAATTGCATGTATGTGGATGATGCCCTTGCAGGGGCACATGACATACACACAGCAATTTCAACCGTACGTGAATTAATCCTATCTCTGAAGTCCGCAGGATTCAACATGCGAAAATGGACCTCCAATTCAACAACAATTCTCTCGGACTTGTCACCCGATGATCTTCTTAATGATGGCTTTTTAGACTTTAACGCACATTGTGCAGCTAAAATGTTAGGCATTCGTTGGAATGCGTATTCTGATCAGTTTTATTTCTCCTCCATTGCATTTTCTCCCCATACTTATACCAAACGAGAGGTTCTTTCCCAAATATCAAAACTATTTGATCCTGCTGGCTGGATTTCGCCGGTCATTGTATTAGCCAAGATAATTATGCAAAAAATATGGCTAGATAAAGTGGGTTGGGATGAAGAGATATCACCAGAATCAATTGACTTATGGAAAGCATTTCAGTCTTCATTTTCTTCCATCAATGAGATTCGTGTTCCACGTTGGTTTAACTTTGTCCCAGACCATGAAATTGAATTCCACGGGTTTTCGGATGCATCAGAAAGGGCTTATGCCGCAGTACTATACATTCGAATTGTTTCTCCAACTACTGTGTACACCCACTTAGTGGCTTCCAAAACGAAAGTAGCACCGATTAAGTCCCTATCTATTCCTAGACTGGAATTATGTGCAGCTACTCTCCTTGCTGAGCTAATTGACAATTTAGTGCCTCAATTCGACGTTCACCGTCACTCATTACATTGCTGGACGGACTCCACCATTGTGATTTCATGGTTAGCAAAACAACCATGTCATTGGAATACTTTTGTGGCAAATCGAATTTCTAAAATCATCCAAACTGTCGATCCACCAAAATGGCACCACGTCAGTTCAGAGGACAACCCCGCCGATCTCGCGAGTAGAGGTGTCTATCCACAGGATCTAATCCAAAATGATCTTTGGTGGAGAGGTCCTGCATGGTTATCTGAATTTGACACTCCTTGGGAAAATTACTCTAATCAAGATGTCCAACCAACTGAATTAGAGAAGAAGTCGGTAAAGACACATTTTGCATATTTCGAAAACTTCCACGATTACTTAACGAATTTTTCTTCCTACCCAAGAGCTCTAAGGATTATGGCGTATGTATATCGTTTTATAAATGGTACTCATCCACGATATAAGACCAATAATAGACGTTATGGTAACGTCATAGAAGCTCAAGAAATCATCCATGTTCGCTCAAAGCTGATATCCATATACCAAAGGCTATTTTACCCAAATGAGTACATGGCGCTGAGTATCCAAAGACCGATTCCTTCTTCTAGTAAACTATTGAGTTTGAATCCCTTCTTAGATTCCGAAGGTCTAATGCGAATTTGCGGTCGACTTGAAGTATGTCCAGAGTTATCCTACAACGAGAGACATCCTATAATTGTTCCATACAACTGTCAATATTCCAAACTATTAGTCCAATATATCCATTTGATAAGTCTACACGGGGGCAATCAACTTGTCCTCCGATTGGTCCGTACACAATACTGGATACCAAAGGTTCAAAATCTTATAAAATCCATTATACGAAATTGCAAGATCTGTGTCATATATAAGAAAAGATGCCAAAAGCAGTTGATGGCTGCATTGCCTCCAGAAAGATGTGAAATATCCCGACCATTCACACATACCGGTTTGGATTTTGCAGGACCTTTTGATATCAAGAGCTATACTGGAAGATATTGTCGGATTACCAAAGGATATGTGTGTGTGTTTGTCTGTTTTTCCACAAAGGCAATTCACCTTGAAGCAACATCCGACTTATCCACATCCAATTTTCTGGCAGCTTTTAACCGTTTTGTTTCCCGTCGTGGCTGCCCACTCCATTTGCACTCTGACAACGGAACTACGTTTGTCGGAGCTTCCAAGAGGATCGCAAAAGATTTTATCGATACCTCGAATCAAGCTCTAATGTCTAATTACGCCCACCAAAATTTGACATGGCATTTCATACCTCCCGGAGCTCCTCATATGGGTGGACTCTGGGAAGCCGGCGTAAAAAGTTTCAAACAACATTTCCGCAAAGTTGCTGGCAATACAAAATACACATACGAAGAATTTCAAACCTTACTGACTAAAATTGAGGCGTGTCTAAACTCTAGACCAATATCCCCATCTTCTCAAAGCCCATCAGATTTCACCGCATTGACTCCTGGACACTTTTTAATCGGTTCTCCTATACTATCTCCCTTAGAACCAGAAATTTCCCAGTCATCCATTTCTATTCAAAATCGCTGGCAACGACTCCGATCAATGTATCAACATTTTTGTAGCAGATGGAAGACTGAATATCTGAAGGAACTTCATAAAAGGACTAAATGGAAAAGTCCAGAACGCGATGTCGAAGAAAATATGCTGGTGGTTATTCAGGAAGAAAATCTCCCTCCGACCTGTTGGCGTTTGGGCAGAGTGATTCGTGTCTATCATGGCAATGATCAGAAAGTGCGCGTTGCTGATATTCTCACTCAGAAGGGAAGAATCACCCGGCCAATTACAAAGCTGGTCATCTTACCAGATAACCAGTCTTAGACTTTATCCTCATACAAAGCCTGAGACAAATAATTTTTCCATTTTCTATTTTAGTTCAATTCAATTCCATTCTTCTTTTTTTTAATTCATTCCTTTTTTTCAGTTCTTTATTTACAATATTACAATGAAGGGTCCTTCGTCTTCTCGTTATTCGGAATTTGCCTGCAGGTTGTGCCGCAAAAATACCAATAAGATGGTTACCCCTCTTGATATCACCACCCCCAAGGACTCTTCAGATACTACCGGCTCAATACCGAGGTCAACATCGACATCCAGTATTACCTCTTTGTCGGCACTTCTTAGGCAGAATGCCACCCCTCTTCTTCCTACTGCAGTCGTCAAAATCAACGGAGCAAATAGCACACAGTTGGCAAGGTGTTTATTGGATTCCGCGGCCCCCATGAGCTGCATTTCCAAACGCTTCGTAGATAAGTTGGGGTTGTCTACGCTCGAGTTGGAAGATGAAGTTATGTGCCCCGTCACCTTGACATCCTGCGTCGATTCCAAGACAAAGATAGAGGCTATATTGCGAATGAGGAACAGGATTGGAATTACAACTCCTAAGCAATCGCTGCCCGAGTCTTCAAAACTCAGTTTCAAAAACTTCGTCCTAGCAGATAGCAAATTCTATAAGGCAGCTTCTGTTGATATCGTCATTGGTGTTGACATATATTCCAAAATTATTGTCGACGGCATCTTTATTCGCCATGGACTTCCTACAGCTCAAAATACCCTTTTCGGATTAGTGCTATATGGAACATTTTCAAATTAATACAAATAATTGTACTCTCTTCCACCACTTTTATTCTGAATTTACGATACCTTTTTTTTAAATACTAATATGCCAATTGAAATCGCTTGAAGACATATTGTATTATGATATAATAAGTTATGCATTAAGTCATTTAGTCATATGAATTTAGTCCTAAATGAATTGATTATATAATTGTCATGTCCCCTTGCCATGGGGGGCGGAATGTTTACGTCAAAACGTAAACCATTTTCATTTCCTTAAACTGTATCTTAAATATGAATAGCACCATTGTTAGTGTACTATCCATTAGAACTGTTATCGAAGTTAAGATAATTATTCTATGTTTTTCCTTTTCCCATTTTCATATTTTCTTTTTATCGGCCTTCTCTAATGGCCATATTGGGAGTCTAATTTCCGCGTCTTATTGAATTCTATTCTAATTCGACTCTGGAACCTGACAGTCCAAATCCAGTACCATCCTAATAAAAAGAATTCTAATATAGCGAAATATAAAAGCTTTTTTTTCATTACTCTGGATTTGGGTTCCAACCGTTTTCAACGTTTCTGCCAGCTACAACATTCAAGGTAAAAAAAGTGATCTTGGATTTTGTTTGGGCTCTAAGAGCAAGTTGTCCACCATCACACTCACGGTAGATGCTTCCAAAGCTTTACCAGGCAATTCAGCCGTTTGCCTGAACACTTGCCAACAAACAAAACCAGGTGAGATATTTTCAACTGTAACGATCCAATCGAATACAGGCTAATAACAGATTTGATTCTCTAGTTTCATTACTGCCAATTGCCCCATGGTGGTGGTTATTGGAAAAAGAGATGAAGGAAAATGCTATATCAGACCACAGATACCGATAGCGAAGCAAGCTGGGCTCAGAAGAAGCGTTTATCGCAGCTTTCAGTGTTGCATTCATGCGTAAGGCATTTAAATCAAAACGTTAAAACCCAATTGTGAAGTGTGCTTCATTGTGGTGGTGGTGGTGCCGTTTCTGTGGTCCTCCATTCTGGGAAGCAGACGATGACGACTATGATGCTATTGGAGGCAGAAGAAGCTGAAGATGAGGTTGAAATTAAATTAAATGAAAACTTGATCAATAAAATGGTAACAACTGCCACAGAAAGTATCTGAAGCTTCTTCATCTGCGTGTCTTGGTATCATTCCAGTCAAACACCCATTTGTTTCTCCTCTTCCTTCTTCTTCTCTTCTTTTGCTATTTGCAATTGCTGGCCCCGAATGATCCAATGTGGTTTTAGGCCTTCTTCAGCCGATGATGATTGTAGTTCGTTTGAATGTTCTGCAATGAATATGAAATTGATATTATGAAAAGCGCGTTTCCACACACCAACACACGCCGTTCCACTCATGAACATAACGAACGCATTGAGGAAAATGCACCTGCGTTGTGTAAATAATGCTAAGCTCAAACAATTTTCCTCAGTTTCCAGTTTCAGTTATCATAACAAAGTTATTCATTTGTTTGCCATAGAGAGGTCCGAACAATTCATTCATCTATGTTGTGGTACTCCAGTGCCAAGAGGCGATTGATCCCCCTCTTATAGCCAGCAAACTGCCAGCCAGCCAGCCAGCCAGGTTTTCATTGACAACATCACAACATAGAGGTTGTGTGATGCCAGCCTAACACACAATCAATGGTAATTTAAAGTATGGCAAAGGCGCATGCGCACCTCATCGCAGTGTATGTGCAAGTGAACAGAACTTAACTCTAACCGATCGACCAGAACGATGTCGTCCTAGTCTTCAGTTCGTTATGAAAATGAGCAAGAAAATGCAATACAAAACAAAATAGAAGCGAAACGAGTCAATAAAACAAATGAAGCATATCTTCGTTCGCCTGCCACAATTTAGCGCTTGGCCTTTCTTTCTCTCTTTGAAACAAAAAAAGAAAAAAACTTGTTAAAACAAATACTAAATAAAGCATACCCTCCTTCTATAGCCGACACCATCTTTTGTGTTCAAAGCCAATAACTGTTTCATACTTTGACTGTTATTGACGCTTGAAACGGTTCTTTAAGCAATTTTCCAGTAATAATTGTGAAGGAAGATAGATTATTTTGTTATAAACGTCTGATTTGTAGCTGCCTAAAAGTATGTAGCACACAAGGTAACTGATAAATACAATAACTTTTAGGTAAGTACATGTGCCATATTTATCATTAATAGTAAGCGATAGTGGGGAAGGTACCAGCAAATAAAGGACCGATAAATTCCATATCCACATCAGATCTCTGGTTGGGAAAAATATTTAGATACACTAGATTTTGCAAGTTATGAGAATGAAATATAGGTATTGAAACTGTGACCGTTTGTGGGGAAGATACCACAAAGGGTGGTATCCAATATCACTCATCTTTACAACAAATCTTGCGGTAGTAAAAATTTTGGATTGTGTGAAATTTGAAGATAATCGGATGCTTATTTAGTATTTTACGACCGTTTTGGTATTTAAAATTTCGACATTTTGTGGGAAAGGTACCAGAACGAGTGGACCGATACATACCACCTTCACACCAGATCTTGTTTTAAAAGAAACATGGTGATGTGCCGAGATTGAAAACAATCGTATCGCGTTTTATGAGTTTCATGGTTATTTAAAGTTTTGACCTGTCGTGGGGGAGGTACGAGAAGTAGTGGATCGATATCTACCATCTCCACACCAGATTTTGTGTTAATAGAAATATTGGTATGTGTGAAATTTGAGGAGTGGTTCGATATCTACCATCTTCACACCAGATGTTGAAATATTGGGAAATTTGAAATTTGAGTAGAATCTGATTTCTCATATTATGAAAGTTAAAAGTATTCAAAATATTGACATTTCTGGGGGAGGTACACCTGACGTAGCACTGATTTAAATATTGGGTCCTGCAAAGTTTAAACATAATCGATCTATGAGGTAAATTATTTTCTTTTAAAAATTTGACCTTTTGTGGGGGAGGTACAAGAACGAGTGGACCGATATTGACCATCTCTGAACTCGACAATAATATTACGATGTACCAGTCCGATACTACTTTCGAGAGTTATCGTGCGCACCAACCACACAGACGGGCACACTTAGATCGACTACATATGTCCTGAAACGTATTTGGTCCAAAGAGACGTAAGGTCAATTGTTATTTCGATGAGGCACGTTTTGGCCGTATTAATTGATGTATATCCGCCATAATTAGAAAAATTAAAAAATAACTCGTACGACATACCTTTAACTACTGAAAAGAGGTATAGCTAACAGGTCTTCTATAAAAAAGGGACTTTTCTTTTTTCATTGCTTTTCTGTAGAATAAAAATCTATTATAGGTCTTCTACAACAAGACCTTCAGCATGTCAGGACATATGGAGAGAAGTCTTTTTACAGGGATTTAATATAGACAATTTTTTTACAAGTCTTCTAATTTTACATGTCGCCTACGGAGAGAAGACCTTTTACAGGTTCTTATAGAGACTAGACCTTTTGTCTTCTATATTAAGGGAAAATGTCGTCTACGGCCATTTGTAGGTCTTCTGCGGATAGGACATTTTTTACGAAGATAAGACATTTAATAGATACTGTTTGGAGATAAACACTTTTTTCCAGAAAGATAATCTTGTACAGGACTTCTGTAGAAGGAAGATCTTGAACCGGGTTTCTAGTTGCGCGTAACCTACAAAGGGAAGACCTTTAAATATTTTTCTATAAAGAGAAAACAATTTTCTGGTCCTCTTTAAAGAGAAAACCTTTAATATGAATTTTACAAAGAGAAAATGTTGTACGGGTTTTTTTTTTAAAGAGGGAAGACCTTTTACAGGACTTCTATATAAAGAAGGCATTAAACAGTATTTATAGTTAGGTCTTCTAGGGAGAGAAGAACTTCTGAATTACATTTATCTCATTATCAAAGGGAAAATACCTTTAGGAGAGAAAGTCGTTTATGGGGTTTCTGTTGACAGAAGATTTTATACAAGTCCTCCATAAACAGAAGACATTAGACCATTTACAAGTCTCTTATAGTCAAAGAATTTTTTATGGGTCTACTTTCTAGTCTTTTATAGTTCTAAAGTTCTTTTTTAGACAGGAGGCCTTTTTCTTTTTTTCCTATGGATAAAATAACTTTTGTGGTTCTATGTTAAACAGGAGACTTTTTAAAAAGTTTTCTTTGGAGAATTTCTATAAACAGAACAACTTTCATGGAGTTTTTAATGTCTTCCGTTGTTGATATCATTGTTGGTATTATTATTAATAGGATAAAATTAAAAAAAAAAAATACAACAAAAATTTGAAGAATTTTAAGCTAATATCGAAGCCGATATCAACTTAAAATGAGACATTTAATTATGGTGGTGGTGTCGGTGGTGGATAGGAGGGAGAATTACCATTTTCATTGCATTGGAAAATACCTGGTTTTGATCTCCGCACAAGAAAAGTTTTAAACTGAAATTGTTTGGCAATTTCACGCATCATTTGAGTCTTAAAACGAGACGTTCGTAAATGCAGTCAATGCTGTTTTTGTTGTTGTTCTTTTCATTTATTGCTAGCTCTGATCAGCCGCAGTGATGTTGTAGTTTGTTGCGCTCAATGCAATAAACCCACTCCACAACAAAGTGAAACAAATTAAAAGGTGCGCATGCGCAACTTTTAACATTTATTATTACGGAATCGATTTGGAAATGTGAGTGACTGTGTGTGTGTGTGCATGTGTAAAATTGTTATCTGTCCACTCATGGCAGTCAGTCATTTAGACAGTAAGTCAACCATCGATACACATATATATCGTCATATCTTAAACTTCATTGAAGCGTTGCATTTTATTTTTTCGTTTCTTTTTCAATTTTATGGCCACTCTGCTCTTCAGTCGTTCACTCTTTTTTTATTGTTTATTGCATAAATTGCAAGTCATTTTTATTCTTCTCGGGCCATTGTTGTTGTTGGTCGTTTCGTTTGTTTGTCATAAAATTAGACAACACGAATGCATTCTTAATGTCATTTTCCACACTCACTCAGTGCGATTTGTTATGCTTTTGTGATAAAAATGTGAAATTAATTTAGAATTAAACCATTTTAGATAAGAAAGACCGAAGAAGTGTTTTGTTCGAAATTATTGGGAGTTTTATTTTTGTAATGTCACTGAAATTAAAAGCATAGGCTGGCAGAGGCCACCATAGCTAATTCAACGGAAATAGACGTATGTGGAACTAATTACAATTCTACTATGTTTTCCTATTATTCTTTATCAATTAATTAAATAAATATTTGGAAGTTAGCACACGTGCTTAAGGTTGATATTTTACATATGAGACCTCAAAAATTCAAATGAATTTTTTTTTTGGAAAATTCTATAAAGGCATCTGTATCAAAGGTTTTATATACATACTAGCAAGTACCCGCTACTTGGTAAGCGAAAAGTCCACTTTAAAATTTTAGAATCGTTTCAACAGTTCGAGTTAGCCTTTTTTGTACTCAAAATGTGCAATTTCTTCAGTTTGACAAAATTTTTCAATAAAAACTTCTTACATCGTACTAAATTTTTCCACTTTCCTGGTATTATATATATTATTCAAGATTTTCCGTTTTCGGAAAGAATAATAGGAAAATGTTTACCTTTTACATAAAAAAAGTCTTCAAAATTGTTTCTTTTGAATTTTATCGAGAATACGTAATTTAGTACCGTTTTAGTACTTTTCGTACAAATATAGGACGCACTTCACCTCCATATCTTAACCAATGACACAAAAGGCGACATCTATATTAAATTTCAGGTTTCAGCTCTATTCCTTCACCCAATACCAACTGTATTACTATTTAGTACTTTTCGTACAATTATAGTACACATTTCCA